TTAAGGATCTGACGAACATCATGGGACTGTTGTCGTTAAAGGGGGAAAAGAGCATTAAAGAAGTCGATATTGTATCGTGTATGATTCTTAGGACTCCTCTCTGTTCGTATATAACACACAAAGATTTGCGTAACGTGTGTGAATACTGTGAGCTGTGAGCTGTGCGCTGAGGAAAATGTGACCAGAAAGAGCAATATAAAAGAAAAAGGTTTGGTTTTATCAGTGAAATATATGTGACGTTTTGTAACTGTCGCTATTGTGTGGTTCTTGTGCGGGTCCGTCTGTTACTTAAATGTTGCTTTACGAGTGAGTCGTGGGTTCATTTATATTTTACCAATAAAAACAAACAAATAAATACTACAAGTTTTTGATTAATACTATCACTTTATATAGAAGAGTTCGGGATAATAAAATATTTGCCTAACCGAAAGCGGCAGCTTAAGGAATAAAGTTTTGCCTATTGATACGTCATCCATCAAATACTTAAGTGATTCTGCATCTTTCACACATCATTTTCGTGTGCAGAATTGTGATTTATGCTGAGTCGTTTTTGCAACTATGCATGATTTCATAGTTAAACTGGCCAATTTGTTTAGTAATTACTTCATCTTTCCATCCCATATAATTTTCACATTTCATGATTCTGCAATGTTACCAATGAAAATGTTAAGTAAATCTGGACAATAAAACAAAACAGTGGATGAAATGACTTTTACTCTTAAAAAAACAAATCGTGTAAGTTATAGTTTTCTATATATATCTCGTACTCGTTCTGATTTTAGTAAATTTGAACAATAAAACAAAACAGTCGGTAAAGTGACTTTTACTCTAAAAAAAACAAGTCGTGAAAGTTTGAATTTCTTTTAAATATCCCATCGCGTTATCCTGATATATAATTCCACAACACACTGTGATTATACGATTGGTCACTCTTCCACTAACTAAATACACATTAGCTCTGCGAAACACAATTATGTCACTAATTAATTCGTATACACATTAATTGTTGTAAACTAATAATAACGTCTTATAATTAGTTGTAAATCTAGATAACGTCTAATAATATCTCATTTCGGATTTTTTTAAAAATTGATTATAGAAAGTAAAAAAACAGGTAGTAGATTAGAAGGAGGAGGGAGATGCAGGTTCCACCGCCGGTAGTTAGACATTAAATGAGGGGGACAAGGCTATAATTGGGGCGTGACTTAATATTACTCATTTCTAAGTTTTCTTACCTCGTCGATATTTTTCATATATGCTTCATCAAATCATTGCTTGTTCACACTCACGCACCGAATCTTGGCTTTGAAGCCAAGTTGGAACACGTAAGCCGACGACTAAGAGCATAAGTAGTGGTGATACAATGTGGGTATCATTAAATATAAAATTATTAAAATTTGAGTAAAAAGAAGAAAGAGAGTGTTTTTGATTGAAATAATGGGGTGTATTGAAATATAAAATTAATAAAATTTGAATAAAGAGAAGAGATAGTGGATATTTTTGGAGAGAGAGTATCAAATAGTTGATACTTTGATACTTTTGAAGAGAGAAAAAGTGTGTTTTTAATAATTTTATATTTAAAGAGAGTATAAAATTAATAAAAGTTGAGTAAAAGGATGAAAGAGAAGGTATAAAGTTGAGTAAAAAAAAGAGAGAGTGTGTGTTTTAATAATTTTATATTTAATGATACCCATGTTGTATCACAATTGTGTATGCTCTAACATTGTTTTTTCAGTTTATTCACTCCTATGAAATTAAGTCAGAGAATATAATATTCATCGTAACATCCCATTTAATTCGATACATTAAAAAATTTGTTATACACCATATAATTGGTTCACATTGTTTTGACTCTTACCAAGATCTTATTATTTATTTTGGACATATATACTTGCACATTTGGGATAATTAATCTTTTTTTTTTATTTGTTTGCATGCTATATAGGAGGGAAAATACTATGAAGTGTAAACATATAAATAACGTACACGCTGGAAGTCATCAT